TTTCTTGTGAAAATTTTCCAGTAAAGAAAATGAGACGAGATTTAGAATGATACGTGAGAGCATATCTCTAGAATTGCCGACAAGCAATCGAATTTGGACTAATCTAGAGTTGCCTTTTCCATCTTAAGAAAAGATCTTATCATCGATGCTAAAGACGGCCTAAACAAAATAGCAGCAAGTTAGAGAGACGTACAAGATTTAAGGCCACTGGTTTGCACCATCAATAAAACAAGAATTGCCGAACACAAAATGGTTCTGTCTTGATTGAATAGCAAATCTTGTCATGTCTTTCCCTATCAGCAAAATACATGGAGCCAAAAGTCCAATGAAAGTTTCTTTTCTTTTCTCAGTTTTTTTCTAGGCTTGAAGATGTCGCCATCTGACTCTTGAAATAACCGCAACTTCTCCTAGATTTTGTCGAAAGATTGCCATTGTCCCGTCCAAAACCCATAAACAAAACGACATAATTAAACTTATGAGAGACACATCAGTTGGGTTGAAATTTTGTCACCTGTTACAAATTAACAATCTTGTCCTGTAATAGTTAACACTTAGCACAGTCCATAATGCAGCTGAACGTAGTATGCACATGAAAGTCATTACCGTAAGGGAATATGAATATTTCAAGTGAAGGCCTAAAGTGGGGTCGCTTTTTCGAAAGAAAGTCCGGGGAAAACTTTGTATCAAGTAAGGCCCTAAAGCGGCAAATTTAGCCTTAAATAAGGGCCAAGCTAATCGGCCAGCCAAATCTTTGCCAACAAAAGCCACCTCGAATCTGATCCCAGAAAAAACAGGAGAAGCTAGAAGTTGTAATATCCCAGCTGTGGTTTGGAGAAACAGTGTCCCATAATGTAAGTCCAGTTTGTAATCTTTTCTCCATGGAAATAAAAATTACAGAACAATCGGCTCCTTTTCGTGCACACTGATATCCATGTTCTTCTCAGTATCCAATTCTGAATTAGTAACGGTAGTCTTTGCCCAATTATTATGTTGCACAATCTACTAAACAACTCTGCACAGTTCGACTATGTCCATGTTTTTGGAAATGGATGAAACTCACCCCGGACGATGGAGGCGCCCAAAAACGATCAAAATCTTGTGAAATGTTTTGCTGCTATTGGATTTGGCGTGATCTAAGTAGAATCATGTCCAAACCCAAACAGAAAAAGAGAAACACTCGATCTCTGTATAGTGAAGTTGCAATTCAAAGAAATACATTCACAATCCAAAAATAAGTACCTTCTCTTTGGTCTTATGCTTTTCACTCGGTGAAGCAAATGTGCTCTTCTTCAGATTTGCCATGAGAACTCGGACAAAAGTAAGTATCGGCATCAGAAAACAATTATTCAACAGAGCACAACCTTCCTCGATCGCGCCGTGCGGTTGACCAGTCATGCCCTTCACTTGTGAGGGTCCCATGCCGATAAATGGCCCAGATGCGGCTAGCTCAACACTGCCTTATGTACCATTTTATCAGAACGCCGCTCAAGTATTCTTACGTTAATTCACATTTCATACTGCATGTTTAGTATGTCCCAAATAGCATTCTGCAACATCGAAAGGAAAACAGAATAGAATAGAAGATGAAGAAGAAGCTAAACCGAAACAAGCAGCAAATCTGCTTAGCTTGCACATGTTCCGGAGAGCTTGAGGGCAACAAGAGTGCAAAGGAGGAGTGCTACTAAAATCATATGTGATGTTGTAATTGTTTTCATTTCTTTTTTTGTGGTTGTCTTTGTATGAAGCCAGCCGCCATCGATGGCCATAGGGGTTAAAGATTCCATAGGAGTAACCATAACCCGCCATAAGTTAGACTAGTCTTATGGAGAAAATATTGTGTACCCTTGTAATTCCACGCTGGATTAATCCGAGACTCTTTGTCACGTCCCGAACCCCAACGGGCTTGCGACACCTCTTCAATAGTCGTATTTAACGCGACGTCCCAGGACGCGTCGCCGACCCACATGAACTACGCAAGCGGAAGCAAAATAAAACAACCCAGACAACTAACAAGATGACAAAAGGATAGCACGAAACAATAATTGCATAACATCATAAATCAGTCACTATACAAAACGATAACTCAGGCTACCTATTTAAAACCACTATTTTCAAAAGGGGACAGTGGTTGACAAGCTTATCTCATCTACAAAAGGTACTCAAAAGACAGGGTAAATGATCTATCCTTCAATCCCTGTGGTGCTCTGGCGGCATCTCCGAATCGATCACGGTCGCGGATCTGAAATGGTTATATAATAACCGTGAGAACGAGTCTCAATAAGCAACCCCCTATACCCCTCGTAGGCTAATGCGTACCCAGACAAGTCGTACATGCAATCTACCCCATAACATATAAAATTCGCATCATTGTACTTACCTCGTCATCAAGCCCATGCCAACTCTACACGTTAGTCACAACGTGATAATACAATAATAGTAATTAAATAACACATCACAATCGCTCAAACACCAACCACATTTGCACTCAATCAATCCAACTAATTCAACCAGCCAATTCAATCACACGCTCAACCAGCCAATTCAATCACACGCTCAATCAGCCAATTCAATCACACTCAATTCGCATGCGTGGCCGAACATCTTTCTCACGACCCGCGCCACTGCGCCTCAGGTCCATTCTCACTGCCCGCGCCACTGCACCTCAGGCCCATTTGGCACACCGGCCATTCATGCTTTCACATGGACCGCCGTCAACACGTCCCAAGTCCGTAGCCCTCCGATCAATCCGGGCTCAATTTTAATGACCGACGTAAACACGTCCCGGTCCAACACACCTTTAACGGGCCACCGTCAACACGTCTCAAGCCCGCATCCATTTGGCACACCGGCCATTCATGCCTTCACACGGACCGCCGTCAACACGTCCCAAGTCCGTAGCCCTCCGATCAATCCGGGCTTGTAATCGACAGGCATACACACGCCATTCAATTCAATCAATTTCACGCCAATTACACCAAGCGATCCATATTCACAATTCAATCCAATTCATGACACGCCACACCAACCCACAAACTCGACATTCAATCGGCCACATACGAACATCCAAATCATGCATATAATTTCATCTAATCCCACTAACACAATTATATAATAATATAATTAAATTAAATCGTGCCCTAACTGTTCCGAACCCTAAACAAGTCTATAAAGTACCCAAAGTACTAGGTAGGGTTTAGGAAGTCACTTACTTAGTTTTGGCCCGGAGAAAATCAGCTCGGGCCTAAAATGGCCCGGGTGAACAGTGCTGGGCTAGGCACGGGCACGGGCCAAACGGGCGCGCTGGCCGGCCAACACGGGCACGGTGGCCGAACGGTGCGCCTGGTACGCGGGCGCGGTGGCTGAACGGCGTGCCCAGGGATGCACGGGCGGCTGGACGGGCGACGTGCCTGGGCGACGGGCCGGCTGGATGGGCGACGCGCCGGGTGCACGGGCGAGCGGCCGAACGGGACGGGCCAAGGGCCAAGTAGCGGGCGAGTGGCCTGGTCCAGCGGGTGATAGGCCCGGCCACGACCTGGGCTGGCTTGGCTGGCCTGGGCTAGCCGGCGGGGCTGGCTGGCCGGCGAGCTGCGGCGGCGTCGGCGACGCGGCGGCGACGGCACGGAGGGGAGGGGAAAGTCAGCCGGGGTGGTGAGGGCGAGAGGGAGAGGGAGATGGGAGATGGGAGCTGAGGGGGCGCGGACCGGCGGCGACGACGGAGCTCAGGCGTCGGGGCGGTGCTGGGGAGCTGGCCGGACGACTGGGCGGCGGCTGGGACTCGCCGGACACGGCGGCAAGCGGCGGCTGGACGGTCGGAGCCGAAACAGGGGAGAGACCGGGGAGGAGAGAAACAGGGGGTGGGACTGGTCGCGCGGCGGCCGGAAGCGACCCGGCGGCGTCGAGGGTGGCCGGGCGACGGAGGACGGGCCGACGTGGGTGGCCGGGCAACGGAGGACGGGCCGACGAGCGGCTGGGAACGCCGGACCGCGGCGGTCGCAGCGACGAGATGTTGCACGCGCGCCTCGCGGGCAGGTCGGCGACGGGCGTCGCGGCGACGGACGGCGGCACGGCTCGGTCGGGGCGGCGGCGGCGGCGACGGGGCTGGAGGCGAGCTCGGTCGGCGTCGGCTGGGGCGAGCAGACGCACGAGCAAAACCAGAAACGATGGTGCGGCGAAGGAGAAGGGAGAAGAAGAAAGAAGGAAGAAGAAGGGAAAGGAGAAGAGAGAGAAGGAGGAAATGGACGTGCATGGGGGGAAGGGGGAAGGGACGCGCGGGCAGGGGGGAGGGGACGTTCGCGGCAGAGGAGAGAGGAGAGAGAGAGAGAGCCACAAAGTCAAAGGTCATCATCGCAATCCAACGGCCCACGATTCGAACCCACAAACGATCCAACGGTTCAAAATTAATCCTAAAATATAATAAGGGACAAAGGCCAAATTAATTAAATCACACTACCCGAGGGAGGTCTACTAGTCCAAATCCGCACCCGGTCAAAAATTCACTTTTGACATATTCCTGGCAATAGCGACGCTGGCCACAATAATATCGACACCGTCCAATTAAATTCGTCCCGAAACTCCAAGAAATTCGACACCAAAGTTTGGGCTCTAAATAACGGCCAAATTCGATCGAGTGCGATTCTAGTGAAATCTCAATTTTAAAATAATAACCGGGAGTGATCAGTTCCCGGGCGAGATTTTTACTATAAGCACACTGACGAATTACACATTTTATAAATCCCAACTATGAGCCGAAATTCGGGAGGTCACACTCTTAGGTCGCGACACATGTCGCGAGAGAGCCCTACCGTGTCAGGGAAGAGCTGAGATTTTTTGAACAAAAGCAAGGGCCTCTCTCTAAATCTTTCATGGATTCATATGTATCTCTCAAGCTTGGAATTAAGATCCACAGGTTAGAAGCAACTAAAAAGATGACTAGATTATAATCAGCTATTCGGCTCAGGAGTTGCTCAAATAAAATCACAACTGGAGATTACATATACAAATGTTTATGTCACTCTAAATGAAATACAAAAGACCAAAACTATGTGGACAACCACCACCCATTATCAGAGCTCAAATGTCGGAATTTCGTGTAAAGGAGAATGTAGCGCTCTATGTACGGTTCTGTCAAATATTCTTCGATAGGGGTCCTCCTCTTGCTTCTTGAGCAAATACGCAATGCAGCTTTCCACTCCAGATTTTACCTGTGAGTACAACTTGTTTGCGTTTTCTCTGTCCTTCAGTGATTCATATCTCCCTCTTGTCTCTATGGGTTTCCCAAACAGATAGTAAAAGCAGCCAGGTATCTTTGGCAAAATCCCTGGAGTATTAAGTGATTCATCCTCCCTAAGAAACAGGACATAATTCATGTCGATGTCAAAAGAATTTCACAGTATGCTAAGCGATTTTATAATTTCAAGGGCCATCCATACAAAATCTATACACAGTCTTTTGAAGGTCGTGGGTAGGGGACCTACCTCACTCGTATAGCGTTGCGACTAGATTCTCTGATGTAGTCATTGAAAAATGAAATCTTCATCAGATCATTGTTATCAAGTACCAACTACCCGTTCAAAGTAAAAATCACATATTGTCAGAATGGAATGCAGAAGTACATCATATAAATGGGGAGGCTCATTGTTAGTTTTAGACTTGCTTTATGACAATTTTAATTTAAAATAATAGATGGCAATGATCAATGCAAAAGTTCGCCAAGACAGATGCATCATAACTGTATATGATTCAGCCAAATCTATACAATTACGCTTTAGCTGAAAATAGTTGAAGATTAAACTCGAACTCCAAGGAAGGTGTAAAGCGGAAGGAATAGGGGCTCACCAATAGTGACAAACCCCCAGAGGTAGAAATAAATATTGTCATGCCCCGAACCCCCGTCGAGCCCGCGACATCCCGCTTCAGGTCGAACGATTGCGACGTCCCAGGAATAACGTCGCCGACCCAACGATCCATCAGAGTTAAATCGCGGCGGAAGCAATCAAAAATCCCGGGCATTAAAATTGGAGAACACCAGAAAGGAACAAATCGACAAACCACCAAGCATATATTACACTTCCAAATATTTACATCATCCGCCAATACAAACCACAAAATAATTTATAAGCACACCGAACTATGAACTCCAAACCACTAAAATATCAAGATCAGCTCTCTAGGTCAGGATTATCCAAAAATGGGGCGCATCCTCTTCCCAGAACTATCCCCTACGCCCTCTCGAAGGCGTCCACTCTGACTCACTGTCCTCGGCATCACCACCTGAATCCTCCGCAGCTGTCTACTCACCCGACGACTCCGAGTCGACCTCAATCTCGACATTCAGGCGGGGGCTCTGAAATGGTTTGGTTGAAACAACCATGAGATCACATTTCAATAAGTCACAACCTAAGCCCCACCTAGGCTATCACGTAATTCCGGACACATCCAAACGCGCAACCAAACAACCACACAACCAGCAATCAAACATTCACACATACCTGGACTCTCTGCATACGCACCATGCACGTTAGCCCACAATCCCAACATACAATTCTTGCACACATGCCATCACACACTTTCCACATATCAATACACACGCCAATCATACCACAAGAAGATCACAAAGCGCGCGTCTCGATTATAAAGCAAAACCTACTTGGGCACGTCCCATACCATGCCTAGCAGATTTTACCCCATAATCGCGTACTGCATCACGCGATACAAACACACTCGCACACTAACTCACACCATGCATCACTTTCACAATCCTCACATGTCAATCCAAATCCCGCTCGTTCTCAACCTTTCCACCACTACCGCGCCCGCGTAAAACGCATCAGGCCAGCGGTCTTCTGATCTCGTCAGGCATCGACACCCCGTCGGGCCGGGCATCGTCACCTCGTCAGGGACGGCATCGTCCCGCGTAAACGAACGCGGCTCAGGACGGAATCCTACACACACTTTCCTTCTACCGCGCCCGCGTAAAACGCATCAGGCCAACGGTCTTCTGACCATGTCAGGTATCGTCACCCCGTCGGGCCGGGCATCGTCACCTCATCAGGGACGGCATCGTCTCGCGTAAACGTACACGCCTCAGGACGGACCTCACCTCGCGTAAACGTACACGCCTCAGGGTCTCACTTTTCAAACCAATCCTACATTCCAGTACCTTCGTTCCACTCAAACCACATTTGTCACACGGCCACACCTACACACTGCCAAACACGCACACCTCACACACATTTCACAATTTCACATTCTCGTCACACGAACACGCCACCCAATCACACATTCTTAGCACGCGAATACAATACGCGAATGCACTATCACACCACCACATCTCACGGCCAAACACACACGGCATATCATCAATCCACATTCAAACACACATTCAGGCTCAATTCCCGCCACAAGGGCAGCAACCATTCAACCTCGACACCCCCACCATTCCGCTCATAAAAACGAACATCCAAAGAATCGTGGTAAAATTGGGCAGTTTATACAGTGACCGAAATACCATCAAAATAAATAGTAAACGAACTCCAAAAATTCTCAATTTTGGATATGTCACAAAACACATCCCGATAAACATTTCTTATGAAGAACACGAAATCCGGTTCAAACTGTAACCATGCCTTTTTGTCCCTCGAAATCAGACCAAAATCAGTTTGCTCCAACAGAATATTTTGTCCTCAAAATACATTTATTTCAACACACAAATCACCTTGAAAAGCTTTGAAATTTTTATATGTTATAGCCACGAATGTCCCCAACAACTTTTGTGAAGGAAGAATTTTGAAAATAGGCCTGAAAAAATTTATAAAAATTCGAACAGACCCGAAGGTCGGGTGAACAGTAAATCGGGCAGTTTTATTTCGGTCCAAAGATGGACTTCCGAATGACCTCAAATGATTTCCAAAAATTCCTAAATTAAAATATGTTATACCTCAAGATGTTGGGAACAACTTTCATGAAGAAACCTTCCTCAAATTCGGCACACAAAATTCTCTACAAAAATAGAAAACCGGGTGGGTACAGTAATCGCGAATCCGCGATTCACCCCGAACCTCACGGATTCAAGCCCGAACCGATTTCTACCGAATTCCAACCGCCAAAACTCATTTCCCGACGTCTAATCCAACCCACAACAACCACTAACAGCCATACTCGGCCACCAATAGCCATGATTAACCACCAATAACCATGATCAACACCTTAATCAACCTCTAATCACCCCAAACCGCACCCAAACGAGTCCGAAAAATACCCGACGTCCTAGGCAAGGTTTAGGGAGCGACTTACCGGACTCTAGACTAACTCGGCTAGAGCGGGAAGGTGGAACGGCTGGCCGGCGGTCACGGCGGCACACGGCGGCGGCAACGGCGAGCGGCGGCGCTCCGGCTTAGCTTGACTTCTCATGGCCAAATGAAAAAAAGAAAATGAAGAAGAAGAAGAAGAAGAAGAAGTGTTGGCGTGGGAGGAAGGGGGCTGCCAGCTGGAATGAAAAATGGGGGAGAGAGAATGGGAGGAGAGAGAGAAAAGGCAATAATAACTTTGACCAACTTTTCCCTTAATTCCAATTTTGCCCCTCTAATACTTGGTCCACATTGCTCCAAACCAAAATATCTAAGGGCATTTTGGTCCAATATTTTGGGGCCGATATTTATCCACAATTAATCTCCAAATTCAATTTCCAAAATCCCCAAAATTCGGAATACCCAAAAATAGGCCTAAGGGCAAAATCGTAATTTTTCGGTCCCGGGTTGAAATTCCATTTTTCGACCGTACCAACTCCAAATGTATGTGGCCAACATAATATGGCTTCGGATTCGCGAAATTCATCGCGCAAGCCCTCAAAAATTGACTGCAAAGTTCCGAGAATAAAATAATATTATTTTTCCAATTTTTGTCGAAATTCTAATTTTTGGCCGTAACCACTCCAAATATGCGTGGCCACTCTAAAATGACATTGGCCTCGAAAAATAACCTCAAACGACCTCAAAATCTAACATCGGTGTCCACAGGGGCAAAACCATAATTTTTCCGGCCCCGGACCGAAATCTATTTTTTTGCAGAAATGGGTGGCCCCAAGGTTGGCCAAGCCGAAAACGTCATTGGCCGCTCAAAATCGTCACTTTCAAAATTCTCGATTCCCGGGCCCGAATTCCAAGAAATGACTAAAATTGACCGATCGCGACTTTAGCTTATCTCTTGCTAACGGGTGGCTCATTAGGATTACGCGCTCTCGACCCGTGACCGACACTATGTCACGCCCCGTACTCTACTGGAACGCAACATCCCGTCGACGGTCGATTATGGTGCAACGCTCCCAGGAAGCATTGCCGACCCAACGCCCAATCAGAGATCAAACACATACGGAAGCAACGTATATAAATAAATATATACACCCATACAATAAATCGCATGAGACTAAGGATAGCCAAGCAATAAACAACGATCAACGCAGAAAATATGTACATACTTATATCACTATTTTAAAACTCTTTTTACAGTGCTCCCAACAACTCAAATAAAACACAAACTCCTAGGAATAACCAAACAGCCACTTCTCCGATCTGCTCCGTCTCCACAGGGGTGCACGCTCAACGACCGATGGATGAAATGCAAGATCCCAAAAAGTGGTGGTGTCCTCGGCATCCTACCGCCGAGGGTCCGAAAATGTTTCGGTTTACACAACCGTGAGACGAATCTCGCCGAGTATGACCCCCTAAACCTAGGCTAGGCTAACATGCAATCTCCTGACCGACAGCACAAAACAACATAACCAAACAATTTATAAATAAACTCCGACCTAGGCCCTGTGTCCCAGATCTCTTACCTGGCTGACCCTGCAGGTTAGACAGTTCAATATGTAATAATCACGGGACATACGTGGCACACATTATCACACGTACGCCAATCCCATGGTCACACACCGAGTCTCAGACACTCGCATGTCAATCAATGCATGTTTATGCATGCAAATGCCATTGACATGTCATGCACATTTCTTTGGCCCACTGGCCCACACTGGCACACTTGCCCAAATTAATTATTATTACGACTCGAGTCATCAATTTTTTCACGGCCCGGTGCGTCTAGCCTGCTTCAAAGTGCATGAGGCGCAGCAACCGATCTGGCCCAGTGTCTCTAGCCTGCTTCAAAGTGCATGAGGCGCAACACTGATCTCCTTGCGAACCAGAGCTTGCTTCAAAGTGCATGAGGATGGTCGCCTTCCGGACGTACCGGGCATCGTCCTGCTTCAAAGTGCATGAGGACGGTATCGACCCGAAGGTCCGTAGGTGATCACACAACTCATTATTATTCGAACCCGCCGTATAACGCCTGTGGGTATTTTAGGTGATCACATGCTCATGGCAGCACGCATTCTCGCACCATTCATCACACGCCTCGTTCCCGGCATTCACTATGCGTGCCATGAAATGCAAAACAATGCAACATGAGCATCAGCACAATTCAAGCATTCAGTTAATTTCATGCCGCAACAATCGTTCACTGGCCAATTAATACCATGCGGCTCAATTCCACAATGTGCAATTCAATAATCCAATCAAGCCATCATATGGCCAATCACACTCCGCACAAGTCGGCCACGCAATCACGCGACATGGCATTACTCAATTTCCCAATAATTGGGTACGTAAATCAACTACCAATCAACCCGGCATACCCAAAGCACTCAATCACATAATCCCCGATTAATTTGTGCTAGTCCAATAATTATTTATAATAATCCCACTAAATTCCTTAGACTTAATTTCCAACGATCGATTCTCAATCCAGTCCGAATTACACACTGGTACTACCTAATCCAAATGACTACACCGATAATACTTAAGCCAACATGCCGAACACAATCATTCACCAAATCAACGAATTCAACGCATCCTTGGCACATTCAATATATTTCCACTTTGGTTCAACGAATCCCACATTCATTTGCACGTTCATTCCAAGGTAATTCAATGCGTTAAAGGCCCGCCCTGGGCAAATCCATCTCAATAGTTGTTCTCACCACTTCGGGGTCATTCAATAGGATTTATACACGTCCTAATCATCCCCTAAAAATGCCTAAATTCTTGTCATTAGTCCATTATTCTTAGAATATTCAACTTGGGCACAAATTAGGCATTTTCGGTATTGAATGAACAGTACCAGGAAAATTAACATTTAGGCACTAAACCACCTTTAAACCATCTCATTAAGGCCTAATCACCTACTCCAAACATCCAACCACCAAATACATATAATAAAGCCTCAAATGAGCTTAATTAACACTTGAATTGTCTAATTTCAAGCCTTGAATCATTGAATTCAATTAGACAAATATGCACAATTTCGGTACTTTGTGAACAGTACCAGAACAGGGGCTGTTTTGAACACTAATCCACACTTAAATAACCTCATTAAGCCCTAATGACCCATCATAATCATCCTACACCCAAATAAACATCATTAGGTCCTAAATGAGCTTAATTAACCCCTAATTACCCCCTAAGGACACAATTAGACTAATTAAGGGTTTGGGGTTTATACTCGCCTATTAGCGACTCGGGACGACGGGAACGGGCGGTCGATCACCGATGCGCGGTAAGGATCGACGGCGGCGTTCCGATGCAAGCCGCGGCTCGCGCGACGACGGAAACGGCGATTTGTCGCTGTTTGCTTCGTCTCAGCTGCTGGAAATGGGCCGAGGGTGGTCGATCTTGGGCGAAAGGGTCACGGTGGTGCCGGTTTCGATGGGGACAGCTCCACTGGCACTGTTTCGGCGTGAACAGCACTGGGCTGGAGCGTAACGTGAACCGTGCAATAGAAAATGGGAAAGAAGAAGGAAATTCCTCGGGGATTTGGCCGAATGGTCTGCTGGAGAGAGAGTGATCTGGTCAAATAAGGGTCAACAATTGATTTAGTGGGTTCCAAGTGTCAAGATCTAGGCCAATTGGACAATTTTGCCCTTGATCCAAGGGCTATCCTTCCTTTTCATCCAATAATTTAGGGGTAAAATGGTCATTGATCCTTAACCCAAGCTGACCAGACCTGGTTTAGCCCTAACTCATCTTGGTTAGTCCCCTAATTAAATCCAAAATTCAGAATTACCAAAAATGGGTCCAAGGGCATTTTGGTAATTTTTCGGTCCCGGGTCAAAATTCCAATTTTCGCACACACGCGTTTCATATGTGCGTGGCCAACATAATATGGCGTCGGAATCGCAAAATTCACTTTTTAAGTCCTCGAAAACTGACTGCAAAGTTTCGGGAATAAAATAATATTATTTTTCCAATTTTTGTTGATATTCCACTTTTTGGCCAAAACCACTCTAAATGTGCATGGCCACCCCAAAATGATATTGGCCGCGAAAAATAACCTCAAACGGCCTCCGAATCCGGCCTCGGTGCCCACAGGGGCAAAACCGTAATTTCTCACCCCCGGACCGAAATTCCAATTTTCACTCGTACTAACCCCAAACGTGTGTGGCCAGCGTAATATGACGTCAAATTCTCAAAAATAGTCTCTTAAGCCTTCGAAAATCGACCTTGAAATCCGGGCTCAATTCCGTGAACAAAACTCGCTAAACTTTCAATTTCAGGGTCTCTCACTAACGGGCGGCTGTTTAGGAGTTACGCGTATCGACCTAGGGCTATCCATATCGTAATGGTCTCGATCATTGAGAGAATGAGAAATTATCATTAGTTCCAGAGGTCACGATCGCTCGGTTCAAGTTCAAGACCGGTTGGCCACGTGTACTTTCGGCCTTGCGTAATCACCCGCGATCCGATGGTACATCGTTGGCCTTGGCCAAACCGCATCCGTTACCTTTCCTAAGATCGGTCCATTCTGGTTCATAATATTCTCTCGTCATTTCTTGAGATCGGTGCCCAATTCACGATCGGGTCCCTGGTCCACGTACCATTTTCCTAGTTAGCCATACCCCATTGGTTAGTATCCCGAGAGTGATCAGCTCTGGGCGAGACTTACTAAAATGAAATGCGAAATATGGTCAATTTATTGATCCCGGAATTACATCGAAATTCAAGCTGTTACACACTAAGTCAAATCACGTTTAAGTTTGCTCGAACCAAGGCGACCTCGATCGTCATATAATTGCGAGAGTCTGTCACTAGTGCCCTTCGGACACGATCAATCAAATAGACCGATCTCGGTTGGCTCAAAACATTCCCTCGTCAATCCATATAGTCGAAGATCGAACCCAGGTCGAGTTCTTTGGTCGTGCGAACTCAATCCCGTAATAGGCCTACCCCTAAGGTTAGCATCCCGAGAATGCGCGGTTCCCGGGTGAGATCTCACTATAGCGCATTGGTCAAATTCATTTCCTAAATCCCGGGAAAAAGGATCGAAAATTCAGACTGTTACAAATATTATGCAAGTTTTTTAATTCCGAACCTTGGCAGAGAGTCAAGAGCTGAATACCGAACTTTAATGCAGAAATAGAGCTAGCTTACATCTGTGATGTCATCCTCTCCCACGGTTCCAAATTAATGGTACTATTGTGGCGCCAAACCGTGCAGCCATTCTCACAAATTCTGGTTGGTCTGGCCAGAATAACTTGTATTCTTCACCCTACAAATGGAAGATGATAGAGCTGAGGTAAACTTTACAAAGCATAATTTTATTGTAAAGATGCACAAGCAAAAGCTTAATGGTGATTACGAGTAACTCTTAATCATGCATATGAAACCTCTGGAAACAAACACTCCAAGAGGCAATGGCAAGGCCAAAATTACTCGTGCTCCTTAATACTCTATATAAGTACAACTGAAAATTTGTCTCTGAAGAGAAACCGTCAATATTTATGTATTATACTCATATGGTGTTTAACCCACTTAACAGAAAATGAGTTCTCATTTACACAAACTGATTATCGCTCACTTAGCTAGCGAATGATAACCATTCTGTTCCGGAATGAGTTCCTGAACCAGAAATAGATTTTTCTATTTCTGGTTCCTAGATGAGTTTCTGAGAAAAAAAACCCGTTTGATAATGACAAAAAATTTCTATTTCTAGAACAGAAACCCGTTTGATAACAGCACAAAATTTCTATTTCCTAAAATAAAAACCCGTTTGATAAACAACAGAAAATTCTATTTCCAGGAACAAAAATCCATTTTTTTAGAAATGGAATAAAAATAATAAAAAATCCAAAAAATTCATAAAAATCTTTAAAAAAATTCAGAAAATCCCAAAAAAATTGAAAAATTCCAGAAAAAATCATCAAAATGTCGAGAAAATAAAAAAAATTTAGATTTCGGGAAAATAGGAAATTTGTTGAATTTTTTCAAAAAAAATCAAGAAATCAAAAATTTCAAAATTTCACAGAATTGCTTAGAATATCTGTGGCCACCCACTTTTAGCGAAATTTAAATTTTTTAGGTGCCCAAAAAAAATCAAAAAATCAAAAAATTCAAAACTTCACAGAATAGTTTAGAATACATGTGGCCACCCACTTTGAGTGAAATTTTAATTTTTTAAGGTGCCCAAAAAAATTCAAAAACTCAAAAATTTCAAAACTTTACAGAATGGCTTAGAGCCACCCACGCCACCCACTTTGAGTGAAATTTTAATTTTTGGAGGTGAAAAAAAAGCAAAAAATAAAAAATTTCAAAACTTCACAGAATGACTTAGAATACATGTGGCCATCCACTTTGAGTGAAATTTAAATTTTTTTAGGTAAAAAAACATAAAAAATCAAAAATTTAAAAATTTCACATAATGACTTACAATACCTCTAGCCACCCACTGTGAGTAAAATTTAATTTTTTTTAGATGCCCAAATGGTATTTTTGATTTTTTTTATTTTATTTTGTTCATAAAGAAAATTAAATTTCACTCAAAGTGGATGGCCACATGTATTCTAAGCCACTCTGTGAAGTTTTGAAAATTTTTCTTTTTTGCTTATTTTTATTTTTTTTTCGATACCTAAAAAAAATTAAATTTCACTCAAAGTGGGTGGCCACAGGTATTCTAAGCAATTATGTGAAGTTTTTTATTTTTTATTTTTTTATTTTTTTCGGCACCTAAAAAAATTTAAATTTCGCTTAAAGTGGATAGCCACAGGTATTCTAAGCCATTTTGTGAAGTTTTGAAATTTTTTATTGTTTTATTTTTTTTATTTTTATCAGCGCCTAAAAAAATAAAATTTCGCTCAAAGTGGGTGGCCACAGGTATTTTAAGCCATTTTGTAAAGTTTTGAAATTTTTACTTTTTTGCTTATTTTTATTTTAAAAAAATTTAAATTTCACTCAAAGTGGGTGGCCACAGGTATTTTAAGCTATTCTGTGAAGTTTTGAAATTTTTTATTTTTTTATTTTTTTCGGCACCTAAAAAAATTTAAATTTCACTCAAAGTGGATGGCCACAAGTATTCTAAGCCATTCTGTGAAGTTTTGAAATTTTTGATTTTTTGATTTTTTTTATATTTTTCGGCACCTAAAAAAATAAAATTTCGCTCAAATTGGGTGGTCACAGGTATTCTAAAATATTCTATGAAGTTTTTAAATTTTAGAATTTTTTATTTTTTTTTTGCAACTAAAAAAATTAAATTTTGCTCAAAGTGGGTGGCCATAGGTTTTCTAAGCCATTTTGTGAAATTTTGAAATTTGTTATTTTTATTTATTTTTTTCGGTACCTAAAAAAATTTAAATTTCACTGAAAGTGGGTAGCCACAGATTCTAAACCATTCTGTTAAGTTTTGAAATTTTTGATTTTTTGCTTGTTTTTCTCACCTCAAAGATCGTGACTTCCATATGAATATGTGTGTTGAAGAAAAAGAATTCCTCAGAAATGGTTCTCACTTTTGTTCTAGAAATGAAAAACCAACTTTTTTTTGGTTCTCATTTCTGGTTTCAGAATCAGTTTTGGAAGTAAACTTGTCCCGGAAATAGAAAAATGAAATTGCGTTACCAAACGAGTTTCTGGTCCAAAACTGATTCTGGGAACAAAAAATCAGTTCTGGACAGAACCAGAATGGTTTTCATGCAGCACCTTAGCTTCTTATCCACCCCCCATCACCACCATCGAATAGACCGCTGCCACCAACTGCAATTGCGACCACTACCCCCACCATATGAGCTAATTGGCTACAGTATCTGACATCGCTACCACAACCACTGCCAGGCCGTCATTATGAATTGTCCTTCTCCAGATGGCTTTACATCTTCACTAGTAAAACTTATGCTGTGGAAGATCCTTCTTACCTTATAGCCTGGACCCGAGGAAATTCTATTTGAGAAATTATGTTTAAACGATTTGTCTGATTACATTATTAATAAGACCAATTGGGTTAAATCAAGATCGAATCCAGTTGTTAACATTGCACAAGAGAACTAATTGAACTGAATGTAAGGTACTTACACAACTTGTAATGGAGAGCCTCGTGTGCACCGCCAGGATAAAGCAGAACATGAGATTTGGCTGAAAACAATTTAAAGAGGTTGCTTCCGGTTACAGGAACTGCTCCAAATACTTTTACCCAATCAATTAGATTAAATTCAGAAGATGAATTTTCCATTTTTCGAGAGAACAACATCGGATGAGCTATCCCGCGCACAATAACGTTCTTCTCTCTCAAGAATTCTTCAACAATTGAACACAGCTCTAGTCCCATCAACATGTGATAACCGACTAACAACACCGGTCCTTCAGAAAAAACCCCTGAAAGACCTTTTACTATCTTCCCATCTTCCAAAGTTGAGAATAATACCGAACTAGATGCATTGCGAAGAAGTCTGCATTTATCCGACCACAGCATCAGACTAAGATTGACGGGTTGCAATTAATGAATCAGCGTTTGTGGAAGGGTATGACCCATCCATAATGTGCTGGGCTCAATCAGGCCCCTGATAGCATTAAAATTGGTAATAATAGATCGTGTGTTACCATCAACAAATGACATTAAAAAGTAAACACTTTGGGTAGCAATGACTGGTGCTTCTTTGGCAAATCACAGGACGAGAATGACCTTGCCCTGAGATTTCAGGCATCAGCTGGTGATAAAATCATGCATTAATACTGCAGATCAATTTTCAATGAGTTGTTGCAAAAGAAATAGAAAGTGAAGTAGCAAATAATCAGATACGAAAAACATGACAACCCAATTATCTAGTTTGAAACATTTGCTGAATAACTTAGATCTTCATAAACAGACTTAAAAGATATAGGAAAACATTAGTTTCAATTCAGATAGCACAGAAACATTAAGCCGTCACAGCTAGCTTAAAAAAAATCTGGTTGAGGTCATATCTAGAAACAACTGGGTCTACTCCAATCAGGAAAGAGCAAAAAAAGACACGCAGAACCATTTGTTTGCAGAATTACCCGACAACTTGATTGAATGCAACTTTGTATTCTGACATACTAGGAGGCAGGAAATCCAAGACGTAATCATGCCTCCTCCTTCGACGGTATGTGTGGGTACCTTTGATGACGGTCAGCAAATTTATACCATCTTCCTGCAATCTCAATCTCAGTCTGATTACTGGTCAACAAACAGGCAGCACAATATAGAGAAATAAAGCAGTCTTTTAGAGATAATATCTCCTGAAACTCAATGCTAAGTTTACGATCAAGGAGAGTGACGTTTTGAAGAGCCATGCACTTTCATCATGATAAGTATTTAAAAGGGCAAAAGCCACAAAAAACCCTAAATTATGTCAATCGTGACACATTTACCTTAAACTTTTTTCTATGACACCAAAAATCCCAAACTTATACCTGTGTGACACATTTAACCTCCGTCAAAATTCTGTCAATAGGAAACATCACAAATCTGCTTACATGTACACTGGAAAGCAAACGGTGTTGACATGAAGCCCACATGGCTTAAGTGCAATAAAAATGACATTTTTTTGGTTGAAAATTCATCTAGCAAAATCTTGACGGAGGGTAAATGTGTCATATAGGTACAAGTTGGGATTTTCTATGTTACACGAAAAAGTTTAGGATAAATGTGTCGTAGTGGGCATAGTTTGGAATTTTTGATGTCACAAAAATAAGTTCAAGGTAAATATATTACAGTGGGCATTTGGAGCATTTTGTGGCTTTTTCCCTATTTAAAAGGAGCACTACCTCACTCAAATAAAAAAGCTAACACCATAAGAGAGATTATAAATTTCTTGAAATTGCAAGATTGAATTTGTATCTTCCTCCTTTCCAAATCACTAAAGGAGCTAAGCTTGAGATCTGTTATCAGCCACTAGAATTACACAATGATGTTCTGCTTGCCAATTCTATTTGCTATGTAGACCAATGAAAGATGATGACATTGCATGCCGCTGGACTTATAAAAGCTGCAGTCAAATTGGTTCATTGTGATGACTCAAAGGCTCCGTTCGTTTGGCGGAAAATATTCTCCTTTTGGAAAATATTTTCCCGAAAGTCATTTTCCTGGAAAATGTTTTCCCGGAACATAATTTTCCGGTGTTCGGCGATCAATATGAAAAAGTTTCGGAAAATATTTTTCGCCGACGACCGACGGCGGCGTCCGGCGGCCAGCGACCGGCGGCGGCAACCGGCCGACCGGGCGGCGGTAGCGGCGGCCGGCGACCGACGGCTAAAGTCCGGCGGCAGCCGACGGCCGCCGCCGGCGGCCGACGGCGGCCAACGTATGGCGGCGGCCGGCGACCATCGCCGGCGGGCGGCGGCCGGCGACCGGCGGGCGGCAGCGGCGGCCGGCGACCTTAGTGAAGAAGAAGAAGAAGCTCCGGAAAATGATTTTCGCTTTTGAAGAAGCGGAAGTCATTTTCCGTAGACTTAGGCTATTTTGTGAGGGGGGGAAGGAAAATATTTTCCCACGGAAAACGTTTTCCGCCTCCCGAACACCGGAAAACACGGAAAATATTTTCCGCCAAACGAACGGAGCCTAAAATCAACGCTTAATCAGCCAATACTCAGCCCACACATTGCACCCATTTTAATCCACATAATTGCCCAAACCTAGTCCACACTGATCGGCCAACAACCAGTCCATTCTAGGCCTCCAAGTCACATTTAGATCATCACACTAAACTCCCAAATTCACCACATAATCATCCTTAATCAGCCGCCAAAGTTTAACCCCTAAAACACCCTAAATTAACCTAAACTTATCTAGAAATGTACATTAGCCTAATTAGGGTTTAGGGTTGTACTCACAAAACTTTCTAAGCTCCTAGGGGTGTTGGTCAAGGGGGAAAATAGGCCGGATGGGCGCCGGCACGTGACGGAACAAGCGGCGGCGGACGGCGGCTCTCACGGCGGCGATTGGTGGTGGCTTGGGCGGTGGCTCTCACGGCCAAGGGGGAAAGAAAATGGGAAGAGGGAGTTGGCGAGAGAGAGAGAGAGAGACAGTCGGAATGGTGGGGTGAGGGTAACGGAGCGGACGGCGGCACACGGTGTGCGGCACCGGCGGGCGACGGCGCTGCGGCGTGGCGTGGCTTCTCACGGCCGGAGAAGGAGAGAACGGGAGAGAGAGAGGAGGAGTGGCCGGTGGGGTGAGAGTGAGAGAATGAGAGGAGAGAGAGATTGCAAGTGTTTTTGAAGAAATGGTGTGAGTGGGGGTGGTTGACCAATCCACCAAAAAATGACCATCACTCCCTCACTTCAAGGGCTAGGATCAAGCCTTGCCAAAATATCTTGGGGCAAATTGGTCCACTAATTTTCAGCATTATTGGGGCTGATTAGTCCAATTTAAAACCCCAAAATTCGGAATTATCACTTAAAGGTCCAGGGTCAAAACAGTAATTTTCCGGTTCCGAGCCGAAATTTCAAGCATATCCAAAAGGTTCTAGACTCTTCCGACGTAAAAGGACAGAAGCCGACGACGCTTCCAATCCAACGGCCCCGATCGAGCCGAACCTTCAGGAGCGGTATAGAATTGGACGTTCTCCTCTCCATCCCCCTTCCCCAATATAAACCTCATCAATTACTGCCGGGTCCCTCGACGCTGTCGAAAGTAGCTAAACCCTAAGCGCGCTCCCTCTCCCCTCTCCGTCTCCCTTCGCCGCCGGAGGTAACTTTGGATAAGCCTGATCTCATCCTCTCGATCGTTCCCTTCTCGTTTGCGCTGTGTTCCGCCATTTCTAGGATTCGAGGAGCTTGGAATTCCGCCTCTCTGCGATGGACGGAATGGAGCATTTCGTTGCTCTTTTTGTAGTTGTTATTGGGTCCGTCCAACGTTAGCTTCTTCTGGTTTGGTGTTGTGCTGGGACTCGTAGTTGAAGAGATTGGGGAAGCATTACCTTGGGGGTAATTAGGTCGTATCTCCGTTTGTCAAGCTAAATGCGTGAAAGAGGAGGAGGAGGAGGAGGAGCTTTGTCGTCTTTGTGCGGGAAATGGAGGGGGTTTGGTTTAAGCATCGAGTCGTTAGGGACTTGTGAGTTCTTGGCTGAGCTTGGATTCGTTGGATTGTTTGGGGATGTTCATTTTGGTGAGCAATATTCGCGTATGATATTAGGGATACTTAATCATTGGGTTACGGTCACAAGAGCCGGGTTTTCCGGGCCTAGCCATTGGAAACCTAAGCATGGGTACCGTGGATATGGGCCTGCTTTTATGAACTCCAGCCCGAGTGCTGATGACTTGAGTGCGGGAGCCCAGCATAGCCGCCAGGAATCTAGGCAGGGCACTGAGGCCTTGGTTGCCTTTGTGGACCCAAACTCGGTCACTGAAGAATTAGACCTGAGGGCCAGTGACTTAGGCCGAGAGCCAAGTACCTGAGCATAGCCGCCTACGACCCAAACATTGGCACCAAGGTGCTAAGCATAGTCATCGGGGAGCATGACATAAACATTGGGGTCCCAAGCCTTAGCTTTATGGATCGAGCCTCGGCTAATGGTGACTTAGGCACGAGAACTAGGTACACGAGCATAGCCATTAAAAACCCTAGCAAGAGTAGTGAGGTCTTGGGCCAGGCCTCAAGGGACTTGGGCTTGGCAATTGAGGAACCAACCTCGGGCTCTATAAACTTGGACTTGACATTGGATTAGGGTGTTGGGTTTCACTGTCGTGGACCTGGCCCCAAGCTCTAGTGACTTGGGCATGAGAGTTGGGTACTCGAGCATGGCCACCACCCATTCACAAGCATTGAGGTCTCGAGCATGACCTTTGTGGTCCCGAACCTCGCCTTGACGAACCCAGGCACAGGTGCTGATGAAATGAGTGTAGGAGCCAAATACTCAAGCATGGCAATCAAAGACCCAGACACGGGCACTAGGGTCCTGAGCTTGGCCTCTATAGACATGGGCCTGGGTGTAGAAATGGGGTCTTGGGGCTAGCCTCTACGGAGTCGGGCTCGGGCACTAGTGACTTGGGCTTGTGAGTCGGGTATCCAAGTATGGCCATAGGGGATCGAGCTAATAGCATGGGGGTCTCGAGCGAACGGCCTCTGTGGCACCAGGCCTGGCCTCGATGAGCTCGGGTTCAAACGCTAGTGACTTGAGCATAGGAGCCGAGTACTCGGGTATGGGAATTGGGATCTTAGCTAGGCCTCGAAGGAACTGAGCCCAGCCTTTGTGGACCTAGCCCGATTGTCATGTAACCGGTCCCAAGCTCGGTAGACTTGAGATCAAGAGCCGATTACTCCAGCATGGCTTCTAGGGACCCGAGCACGGGCACCAAATCTCAAGAATGATCGCTAAGGACCCAAACATAGGCACTGGGGTCTCAAGCTCGACCTGTGTGGACTGGGCTCAACTTGTGAGTACCAGGCTCAACCTATGTGCATCAAGCTCGGCCATTGAGGACTTGGGCATCGGCGTTGGCTACTGTGCCCAAGCTTTAAGGTCTCCGATCTAAGCGCCATTATTTAGTTATATAGGGAAATCATTTTCACGAATTTTACCCTATGTTTTTTGTTGACTATTAATAAACTTTTTGTTGACTGATTTTGTCACGTCCCAAATCCTACGGCACGCGACAACCCTATTGCGGTCGATTCAGTACGACGTCCCAGGATTCGTCACTAACCCAAAACCCAAATCAGAGAACAACACACATGCGGAAGCAATCAAATATCCCGTACAATATAAAACAGCATGACCCAGGGATAGCAATAAATACAATAAATACAACTTGCATTAATAACAGGGATTTACAATATTCATATACAGTATATACACATAAACCAAAATGGATCAACAACCACTAACATAAAAAAGGGTATGTGGCTCGGGCGATCAGGATACTAAGCCTAGGAAGGGCACCTATCCAAAAAGTGTCGGACCTACCTAACTAAGGTCAGGAGTGAACTCTAGGGCAACCAGTTCGGGTTGGATCCTGAGGACTCAAACGAATCGTCTGACGACTCGGACTCGGAATCCATTGAATCCGGCTCGAACTCAGCGTCCACTGACTCCACCTCGGAATTATCCTCCGGCTCTGGCTCCTGCTCCATGGACTTCGACTGCATCTCCTAATCGGACTCTCAGTCCATCGGCTCCTCTCCCTTGGACTCGGTAGCGGGGCTCACGATCTCTCCATCAACAGGATGCGGGGCTCACTGACCTAACCCATCGAACGGAATATCGAAGGTCCTAAGGGTCCATAGGATCCACTCTCATCCCGGTAGCACCAACCGAGATAGGGATGGGCCTTGAGCTGTGGCCCGCCCTCATCGACCCAAACTATGGTGTAATATCTAATATATACTTCCCCGTTCCAACCGTGGTACTCGGTCACCGAACGGTCTATCCGGTCCGA